CCTCCCTGTTTTTAAACTCCATCCCTCTAGCAATGGCAGACAAAATTAAATTTGCCTTTTTAATTACCTGCTGCACCTGCAATCCTACTTTTAGCGATTCATGCACAAGGACACCGAAGTCCCTCTGCACAGCAGCGTGCTGCAATTTTTTACCACTTAAAACATAGTCCATTTTGCTGTTATTCCTACCAAAATGGATGACCTCACACTTATCAACATTGTACTCCATCTGCCAGACCTTTGCCCACTCACTTAGACTATTGAGATCCCTCTGCAGACTTTCAGTGTCTTCTGCACACTTTGCTCTACCACTCACCTTAGTGTCATCTGCAAATTTTGACACACCTCACTTATTCCCCGACTCCAAATCATTGTAAACAAATTATTCCCAAATGTTCTGCTATTACATCTTTTATAATAGATTAACGTTTTTACAATGAGATGCTAAGCCAACTAACTGGCTATTAAATTGCTCTTCCTTCCTTTTTTGAACAAGGGTGTTACATTGGCAGTTTTCCAATCCTCTGGGCCTTTATCAGCTTTTTGGAAAATCGCTATCAGTGCATCTACTGTCTCCTTGGTACTTAATTTGTTATCATAGGATGCAACCCATCAGGCCCAGAGGACTTTCTGGCCTTTAGCTTCCTGCCCTTTTTCCTCTTATGATAGTTATTTTAATTAGTTACTCCCCACTGTTGTCCCTTGATTATTCAGTATTTTTGGAATGGTACAAGTGTCTTCTACTGTGAAGAATAATGCAAAATACTTATTCAATACCTTTGCCGTTTTATCGTTCCCCAGTTTCATTCTCTGTCTCCTATCTCATCCTTTTTATATATTTAGAGAAGCTCTAGTTAAAGAATATCCTTTTTAATATCACTTGCTAGTTCACCAAAGTCTATTTTCTTCCTCTATTTTGTGGGTCACCGTGTTGTTTTATTTTTAAAAGCTTTCCCAATCCTCTGGTTCATCATTAGTTTTTATTCCCATTTACCCACGTTTCTCTCAAACCGAATTCTACCATGTTACGGTCACTGTTTCCTGGGGATCTCTTCCTTAAATCATTCTAGGAAACTGCCCCAAATATACTCAATGAATTCTTCCTTACGGCTACCTCTGCCAATTTGATTTTCCCAATTTCTATGAATAGAGTCATATCCATGATTAATATGCTGCATTTTTAAATGCCCTCATAATATCCTGATTTATTCTCTGTCCTTCAGTACAGCAACTGCTAGGGAGCCTGTAATTACTTCACCACTGTCTTCTTCCCCTTTTTAATTCTCATCTCTGCCCACATGAATTCCACATCTTCCAATCCGAGATCATTTCTTGTTATTGTACTAATCCTACTTCAGTAACAAAGCTACGCAACCAGACTTCCCGAGCTGCCTTTCCTTTTGAAAAGTCACATATCCTTGACTAAATTAGTTCCCAGCTCTGATCATCTTGTAATCATGTCTCCATTATGGCTGTATAATCATTCTCATTAACCTCTACATGCACTGTTAATTCATTTTTTTCCCCAACCAGATCATAGAATCCCTACAGTGTGGAAACAGGCCCTTTGGCCCAACAAGTCCACACCGACCCTCAAAGCATCCCACCAAGACCCATCCCCCTATAACCCACCTAATCTACACATCCCTGAACACTACGGGCAATTTAGCATGGTGAATCCACCTAGCCTGCACGTCTTTGGACTGTGGGAGGAAACCAGAGCACCCGGAGGAAACCCATGCAGACATGGGGAGAATGTGCAAACTCCACACTAACAGTTGCCCAAGGCTGAAATTGAACCTGGGTCCCTGGAGCTGTGAGGCAGCAGTGCTAACCACTGAGCCACCGTGCCACCATTTAAGTAAAGAGCCATTCATTTTGCCTTTTTAACCATTTCCTCCCACTCCAAGTTCCTCTCAAACCCTGAACAGATATCTATAACCCTGGCAGGGAACATCACCTTCAGGACATACTCTCACAGCTGCAGAGAACAATATTGATTCCCCTAATTATACCTTAGATCACGATTGTGTTCCTATTTCCTTCCCCCACTCGATTGGCTCCCTGTACCAAGGTGCCATAGCCAGTTTACTCATTGCCCCGAAAGTCTCACTCTTGACCGCACAGCTGGCAATAGCCTCCTAACTGGCAACTGCAGGGACCAAGGCTCCTATTTGGCTGCCCATTGGATCCCCAACAGCTGTCTCTCCCACAGTCAAAGACACTGGTCCTTGATCACAGGCCAAGACCGAATTAACTGATAGTAGATGTCTCCCGAAGCCAAGTGTCCATGTAGCTCTCTCTTCTCTGGTGGCTGAACGTCTGTAGCTCAGATGCCAGCTCCTCAGGTTCAGACCCAAAAGTTCTCAAGCTGCAAACACTTACTACCAATGTGTTTCCCCAGGAGCACCTTCATGACCAGCAGCTGTCACATGCTTTATTAGCAAGACATCACTCATACTGCCATGGCCAAAGTTTATTTAATTAATTAGTTACTCTAGTAACCCTCCTCTTTCAACTTGATTGAGACTTATGTAATACAGTTAGAAGTTGGAAACACATTAGCTTTGCCTGCAATACAAGAATCTGTAACTCCTACCAGTTTAATAAGTTTGTACTCCAATTTTATCTGCTTTCTCATGACAACTTTATTTTCTTGTGACTTACACCTTCTTGTGAGAATTAATGGTCATGGACCTGCACTATGCTTGAACAGCAGCTCCCGCAAGATTTAGGCCGCATGAATTATCTCCCCAAACAAAATTAACATTGTATTGTCATGGATATCAAAGCCTACTCTTTCCATTGAGAACATGAGATTTATCACACTTCAAAACGCTCTCCTTCAAGACTACATCAGCATAAGGGCAGGAATTGCAACTCAATTTAGTCCATTTGGCAAATGAGAAAATCAGCCCAATTGGGAAGTCAGACCACACAGCATGGTTGGAACTCCCACACAAAACCAGAGCTTCAGCTACGAGCAGGATGTTGGTTGTTGACTGCTCAGCTCCACACCATCTCTGCAAGAATTCCTTGACCCAACCATCTTCAATGGCCTGGCCTCCATCATAAGATCAGAAGTTGGGGTGCACAATGATCATCACCAATCGCAACTCCTCAGATACTGAAACAGGTTATATTCCAAAAGATAATTATTTAACCAGTATTAAAATATACACGAGTTTTATTACAGAATTAGCCCCGCTCCATAAAACACACACCTTACTGATGACTAGCTGCCCATATTTATACAACATTTCAAATCCAATTAACTCAATTCATATATCTATCACCTACATAAGAACATAAGAACTAGGAGCAGGAGTAGGCCATCTGGCCCCTCGAGCCTGTCCCGCCATTTAATAAGATCATGGCTGATCTTTTTCAGACTCAGCTCCACTTACCTGCCCGCTCACCATAACCCTTAACTCCTTTACTGTTCAAAAATTTATCTAGCCTTGCCTTAAAAACATTCAGTGAGATAGCTTCAACTGCTTCACTGGGCAGGGAATTCCACAGATTCACAACCCTTTGGGTGAAGAAGTTCCTACTGACCTCAGTCCTAGATCTGCTTCCCTTTAAACATTAAACATTCTTCAGACCATATTAGATGATACCAAAGCAATTCATATCCAAATGCAGCAAGACCTGGACAATATCCAGGTTAGGGAAACCCTATTGCTGTCAATTCAAGCCATACAAGTGCTAGGTAAAGACAACTGGCAACAAGACAGAATCTAACCATCGTCCCTTGACATTCAACAGTGTCATCATCACTGAATCTTTCACAATCAACATCCAGGGGTGGGTGGGGGTTTGCCATTAACCAAAAGCTGAACTGCGCTAGCTGTATAAATTTTGTGGCAATATGAGCAGGTTAGACGCTAGGAACCCTGGAGCAAATAACTCCCCTCCTGACTCCCCACAGCCTATCCACACCAGCCACAAAGCACAAGTCAGGACTGTGATGGAACATTTTCCCACTTGCCTAGATGGGTGCAACTCAAGAAGCTTGACATGATCCAGGACAAAGAAGTCCACTTGATTGGCACCACATCCATAAGCTTCTACTCTATCCACCACCAAAATTCAGTGGCAGCATTGTGTACCATCTACAAAACAAAACAGCAAAAATTCTAAGATCCTTAGATTGCACATTTCAAACACATGACCACTTCTATCTAGAAGGACAATGGCAGAAGATACATGGGAATACAACCACCTCCAAGTTCCCCTCCAAGCCAGTCACCATCCTGACTTGGAAATATACTGCCATTCCTTCAGTGTCGCTGGGTCAAAATCTTGGAACTCCCTCCATAACGTTACGAATCTACCTTCTCCAAAGGATCTGCAGTGGTTCAAACTGACAGCTCATTCTCAACTTCTCCACAGCAATTAGCAATAAATGTTGGCCCAGAAAGCAAGGTTCACATCATGAACAACTGAATAAAGGGAACAAGGTGAGGCAGGGAAAGGATATTTCATTTAAATAACCAACAGCACCCTGAAAGGACTGACAGCAATTACATGTAAACAGCTCTAATGGTTTAAAAACAAAACATTAATGAAGGCGCGTTTGCCGATGGGCTTGCTCAGGACAAAGGGGGAGAGGCAATGGCCACCCCTGGGCAAACTACAGGTTTACTGAGAAACTATCATTGTGCACCTAGTAGAAAAAAAAGGTACATGCTACAGTTGTGGTGGTTCTGGAGTGCAAGCAGGGAATAGCTATGTAGGGGGCATGAGGTTCTGCAGATTCCAGTTCAGGCCTTAGGGAATGGGCCAGTTGGAATTGTTCTCACCTCAGGAGGTGGTGGTTGTGGTTTCCAGTCTCACTTCAGGACCTGAGTATGTAATCCAATTGATACTGTCAGAAGGGATATCTTGGAATGAAACATTAACACAGAAAGCTCATCTGAATACTCCATAAACTGAGGCATTCTTCATTGCACTTTTCAATAAAAAACCCCTATAAAGCTGAGGTGCAGCACACATACTCTGTCCAGGTCCGGGTGCACCAGGGCCACGTAGTCATTGCAGGCAATAACATTTCCAAGTGCAGAAAGACGTTCCTCAACTCTCTGGATGGCCACAGAGTCTGGCAAACAATTGCGGATATGCTGTAACTCCTGATCTGTTGTGTTGTTAGGGACCAATAACCCATGTCGATTACCTAGAGAAGACAAATCCACCAATTAGACCAAGACCGAAAGTGCACCATTTACTCTGAATAGGTTCAACCAAGCATGATTTCTCATGGTGTGGCCGACAACACAAATCAGGTTTGATGTTACTGTTTAACAGCTTCACCAGTTTATAGTTATTGTGTTCATTTTCTTTTCCACTTGGGCCCCTTGATTATTTAGTAATTTTGGAATGCTATTAGGGTCTTCTACCATGAAGACTGATGCAAAATATTGATTCAACTCCTCTGCCATTATTTCCTCAGCCACATTTTCCAAAGGGTCGGTGTTCTCTTTGGCCTTTCTTTTCCTTTGTACATACTTAAAGGAGCTTTTACTATCCATTTTAAATTACTTGCTAGTTTACCCACAGTTTATATTCTCCCTCATCTTTTGTTGGCTTTTAAAACTTTCCCAATCTTCTGATTTACGACTAATCTTTACCATGCTGTAATTTTTTTCTTTCAATTTGACTCTATCCTTCACTTCCTCGCTTAACCATGGCTAGTTTATCTCCTTTCTAGGATCTTTCTTGCTCACTGGGGCATAATATCCGAGTCACAAACTATTTCAAGGGTATTGGTTAGGCTACTTTTCGAACACTACATTCATTTCTGGTCTCCCAGCTACAGGAAAAATATTGTAAACTTGAAAGAATGCAGAAAAGATTAAGAAGGATGTTGCTGGGGTTGAAGGGTTGGGGTTGAAGGGTTTGAGCTGTAGGGGGAGGCTGAATAGGCTGGGTCTATTTTCCCCGGAGTATCAGAGGCTGAGGCGTGACCTTTTAGAGGTTTATAAAATCATGAGGGGCATGGATAGGGTGATTAGCCAAAGTCTTTTAAAACTGAAGGGCACAGGTTTAAGGTGAGAGGGGAAAGATCTAAAAGGAATCTAAGGGCAACTTTTTCATACAGAGGGTAGTATGTGTACAGAATGAGCTGCCACAGAAAGTGGAGGAGGCTGGTACAACTACAACAGTTAAAAGTTATCTGGATGGGCAGATGAGTAGGAAGGGTTTAGAGGGATTTTGGCCAAATGCTGGCAAAAGGGACTAGATTAGTTTATGATATCTGGTCGGCATGGACGAGTTGGACTGAAGGGTTTGTTTCCATGTTGTACATCTCTATGACTCTGCCATTGTTCTTCAGAAAAAATGGTTGAAATCCCTCCCCAGTCCACTCCAGCAAACTTGGCCATCATCCCCAAGTAATGATTCTCTTCCTAGCCTTGGAAATTCCTTTACTCTTTGATGGAGACATGGGTGTTGGTAGCAAGGCCAGCATTTGGTACCCATCCTTAACTGACCTTGAACAGGGACGATTGCTTGGCCATCTCACACAGCAGTCAAGAATCAACTACTCCGATAAAAGCAAAATTCAACAGATGCCAGAAATCTGAAATAAAAACAGCAAACAAAGAAACTCAGCAGTTTTGGCAGCATCCCTAGAGAGAGAAACATTTAATGTTTTCAGCCCAAACTTCAGAAGAGGAGTTGTTATTGGACTGGAAACATTAATTCTGTCTCTCTCCACAGATGCTGTCAGATCTGCAGGTTTCTCCAGCATTTTCTGTTTTTATTTTAGAATCAACCAGTGCTGTGGGTCTGGGGTCACACTGAGGCCAGATTAGGTAAGGACAGCAGATTAGGGTGGCTCAGTGGTTAGCACTGCTACCTCTCAGCGCCAGGGACCCGGGTTCAATTCCAGTCTTGGGCGACTGTCTGTGTGGGGTTTACACATTCTCCCAAGGTCTGTGCTGGTTTCCTTCCAAAGATGTGCAGGTTAGGTGGACTGACAATGCTAAATTGCCCATAGTGCCTAGGGTAGGGGGTGGGTCTGGGTGGGGGGGAATCAGTGAGGACTCGATGGGCTGAAAGGCCTGCTCCCACGCTGGAGGGATTCTATGATTTCCTCTCTGAAGGACGAGTGAACCAGAAGGGTTTTAAATAAAATATAATGATAACTTCATGCTCACCATTACAGTGACAAGCTTACTATTCCAGATATATCTTTAATCAGATTTAAATTCCACTGGCTGCCATGGTAAGATTTGAACCCAGTTCCTTAGAGCATCAGTTTCTATTTATTTGTGGGACATGGGTGTCGCTGGCTGGCCAGTATTTCTTGCCCATCCCTAGTTGCCCTTGAGAAGGTGGTGGTGAGCTGCCTTCTTGAACTGCTGCAGTCCACCTGCTGTGGGTTGACCCACAATGGCATTAGGGGAGGAACTGCAGGATTTTGACCCAGCGACAGTGAAGAAACAGCGATATATTTCCAAGACAGGATAGTGAGTGGCTTGGAGGGGAACTTGCAGGAGGTGATGTTCCCATATACCTGCTGCCCTTGTCCTTCTAGATAGAAGTGATCGTAGGTTTGGAAAGTGCTGTCCAAGGATCTTTGGTGAATTCCTGTAGTGCATCTCGTAGATAGTACACACTGCTGCTACTGAGCATCGGTGGGGAGTGGATGTTTATGGATGTAGTGCCAATCAAGCGGGCTGCTTTGTCCTGGATGGTGTCACCTTTCTTGAGTGTTGTTGGAGCTGCACCCATCCAGGCAAGTGGGAAGTATTCCATCACACTCCAGACTTGTACCTTCTGGATGATTGACAGGCTTTGGGGGGGTCAGCAGGTGTGTTACTCGCCTCAGCATTCCCAGCTTCTTACTTACTCTTGCAGCCGCTGTGTTTATGTGGTGAGTCCAGTTGAGTTTCTGATCAATGATAACCCCAGGATGTTGATAGTGGGGGATTTAGCGATGGTAACACCATTGAATTTCAAGGGGCGGTGGTTAGATTGTCTCTTATCGGTGATGGTCATAGCCTGGCATTTGTGTGGCACGAATGCTACTTGTCACTTGTCAGCCCAAGCCCGGATATTATCCGGATCTTGTTGCATTTGAGCATGGACTGCTTCAGTATCTGAGGAGTCGCGAATGGTGCTGAACATTGTGCAATTATCTGACCTTATGATGGAGGGAAGGTTCTTGATGAATCAGCTGAAGATGGTTGGGCCGAGGACAATACCCTGAGGAACGCCTGCAGAGATGTCCTGGAGCTGAGATGATTAACCTCCAACAACCACGACCATCTTCCTCTGTGCCAGGTATGGCTCCAACCATCAGAGAGTTTATCCCCTGATACCCGTTGATTCCAGTTTTACTATGGCTCCTTGATGCTACACTTGATCGAATGCAGTCTTGATATCAAGGGCTGTCACTCTCACATCACCTCTGGAATTTAGCTCTTTTGTGCATGTTTGAACCAAGGCTGTAAAGAGGTCAGGAGCTGAGCGGCCCTGGCGGAACCAAAACTAGGCATCACTGAGCAGGTGCTGCCTGACAGCACTGTTGATGACACCTTTCATCATTTCACTAAATATTGACAGTAGGCTAATGGGGCGGTAATTGGCCATGTTGGATTTATCCTGCTTTTTAGTTACAGGACATACCTGGGCAATTTTTCACATTGCCAGATAGATACCAGTGTTGTAATTGTACTGGAACAGCTTGGCTAGGGGAGAAGCAAGTTCTAGAGCACAAGTCTTCAGTACTATTGCTGGAATGTTGTCAGGGCCCATTGACTTTGCAGTATCCAGTGTCTCCAACCGTTTCTTGATATCATGAGGAGTGAATCGAATTGGCTGAAGACTGGTATCTGTAATGCTGGGGACCGCTGCAGGAGGTCGAGATGGATCATCCACTCAGCACTTCAGGCTGAAGATTGCTGTGAAAGCTTCAGCCTTATCTTTTGCACTGATGTGCTGGGCTCTCCCATTATTGAGGATGGGGATATTGTGGAGCCTCCTCCTCCAGTGAGTTGTTTAATTGTCCACCACCATTCGCAACTGGATGTGGCAGGACCGCAGAGCTTAGATCTGATCTGTTAGTTGTGGGATCCCTTAGTTCTCTCTATCACTTGCTGCTTTTGTTGTTTGGCATGCGAATCATCCTGTTTGGTGGCTTCACCAGGTTGATACCTCATCTTCAGGTATGCCTGGTGCTACTCCTGGCATACCCTCCTGCACTCTCCATTGAACCAGGGTTGATCCCCTGGTTTGATGGTAATGGTTGAGTGGGGGTAATCCAGGCCATGAGTTACAGATTGTGCTGGAGTACAATTCTGCTGCTGTTAATGGCCCAGTGCTTCATGGATGCCCATTCTGGAGTTGCTGGATCTGTGCGAAGTCTGTCTCATTTAGCAAGGTGATAGTGCCACACAACACGATGAAAGTTATTCTCAACTTGAAGGCGAGACTTCATCTCCAAAAGGACTGTCCGATGGTCACTCTTACCGATACTGTCATGGACAAATGCAACTGCAGCTGGCAGATTGGTAAGGATGAGGTCAAGTATGTTTTTCCCTCTTATTGGTTCCCTCACCACCTGCTGCAGACCCAGTCTAGCAGCTATGTCCTTTTGGACCCGACCTGCGAGCCACTCTTGGTGGTGGACACTGAAATCCCCCAACCAGAGTACATTCTGTGATCTTACCATCCTCTTTCAAGTGTTGTTCAACATGGAGCACTGATTGATCAGCTGAGGGAGGTCGGCATGTAGTAATCAGCAGGAGGTCTTCTTGTCCATGTTTATCCTGAACTTCATGGGGACCGGAGTCAACATTGAGGACTCCTAGAGCAACTCCCTCCCGACTGTATATCGCTGTGCCGCCACCTCTGCTGGGTCTGTCCTGTGGGACCGGACATATCCATGGATGGCGTCTGGGACATTGTTTGTAAGGTATGATTTTGTGAGCTTAACTATATCAGGCTGTTGTTTGACTAGTCTGTGAGACAGCTCTCCCAATTCTGGCACTAGGCCCCAGATGTTAGTGAGGAGGACTGTGTAGGGTCATTAGGACGGTTTCTGCTGTTGTCTTTTCCGGTGCCATGGTTGATGCCAGGTGATCTGTCCAGTTTCATTTCTTTGAAAATTTGTAGGGATTGGTACAACCGAATGGTTTGCTAGGCCATTTCAGAGGGCAACTGAGAGTC